TGAACTACAACTCCCCCAAATCAAGATGAATTTTCCCCAAAGACCTCCAGTATTTTTTTTTCTAGTCAGGGGGTCTCTGCATGCCAAGTTTGGTCCAATTCCATCTTTGGTGGAGTTCAGAGTGCTCACTGATTGCAGGTGAACTATAAATCCCAGTACCTACAACTCCAAAATGTCCAGGCCAATTCCCCTCAAAACCTACCAGGATTCAAAGTTGAGCATATTGGGTATGCATGCCAAGTTTGGTCCCGATCTTCTCTACCTCTGCAGAGGGACTCAGACCGGATAACAGCAAAGATTCAATGCTAACACTGAAAATCTAAAACATAATACACAACATTAAGTTACCAATTACATAAAATTACATAAAATTACATAAAAGCCGTTTGCCAGGAGAAAATCGTGTCCAACTCCATCCGTATGTCCAGTCCATATATTGTGATCAGTACCATTAGTCGATTGCCGGTCTCAGACGTCATTCCGCAAAAGCTTTGTTGCACAGCCAGGTTTTCACTAGCTTCCTAAAGGTCAGGAGGGAGGGGGCAGATCTATTTTCATTTGGGAGGGAATTCCATAGCCGAGGGGCCACCCCAGAAAAGGCCCTGTCTCTCGTTCCCACCAGACGCGATTGCGAAAGAGGTTGGACCGAGAGCAGGGCCTCTCCAGACGATCTTAACACTCTTGATGGTTCATAGGGGAGAATACGTTCAGACAGGTAAACTGGGCCGGAACCATATAGGGCAGTGGTTCTCAACCTTCCTAATGCCGCGACCCCTTAATCCAGTTCCTCGTGTTGTGGTGACCCCCAGCCATTAATTTATTTTCGCTGCTACTTCATAATTGTAATTTTGCTACTGTTATGAATCGTTATGTAAATATCTGATATGCAGGATGCATTCTTATTCACTGGAGCAAATTTGGCACAAATACCCAATATGCCCAAATTTGAATACTGGTGGGGTTGGGATGTGAGGATTGATTTTGTCATTTGGGGTTGTACTTGCTGGGATTTGTAGTTCACCTACATTCAAAGAGCATTGTGAACTCTACCAACTATGGAATTGGACCAAACTTGGCACACAGAACTCCCATGATCAACGGAAAATACTGGAAGGGTTTGGTGGGCATTGACCTTGAGTTTTGGAGTTGTAGTTCACCTATATCCAGAGAGCACTTTGAACTCAAACAATTATGGATCTGGACCAAACTTGGCACGAATATTCAATATGCCCAAATGTGAACACTGGTGAAGTTCGAGGAAAATAGACATTGACATTTGGGAGTTGTAGTTGCTGGGATTTATAGTTCACCTACAACAAAAGAGCATTCTGAAGCCCGCCAACGATAGAATTAGCCCAAACTTCCTACACATAACTCCCATGACCAACAGAAAATACTGTCTGTGATGGTCTTTGGTGACCCCTCTGACACCCCCTCGTGACCCCTTCAGGGGTCCCGACCCCCAGGTTGAGAACTACTGATATAGGGTTTTATAGATACTTCGAATTAGTGGGGCTGGTGCAACAAGGGAGTTGTTCACTCCCTGTACCCCGCCCCTGTTAGTAGCCTGGCTGCCGAGCGTTGGACTAATTGCAGCTTCTGGGCAGTCTTCATAGGCAACCCCACGTAGAGAGCGTTGCAGTAGTCTATACAGGATGTAACCAGAGCGTGGACCACCGTGTGGCATGACTCCTAAAGGATTGTGACACTCCTTCTTCCCCACTCACTTGCATTCATTTCTCTGCTCAATTGATCAGGATGCTCACTATTTGCGTTGTCCTTTTCCTCAGGTTCGCCATGCCACCTGGAGCATCATCATGGAGTCGGTTGTGCCATCGGATAAAGGCAACTACACCTGCGTCGTGGAGAACAAATACGGAACTATCAACCACACCTATCAGCTGGATGTTGTTGGTAAGGAAACCTAAGAGCGAGTGGTGCGGAATCCTCTTCGAATCATGGTTTGGTTGCATTTTGCCAAATCCTCTCTGCATTTCTGTCGCCTTTTTATTTATTATTTCTTATATTTTATTTACAACATTTCTACCCGCTCTTCTCAACCCCCGAGGGGGGACTCAGAGTGGCTCCTTCTTTGGAGGCTTTGGAACAGAGGCTGGATGGCCATCTGTCGGGGGTGCTTTGAATGCAATTTTCCTACTTCTTGGCAGAATGGGGTTGGACTGGATGGCCCAAGAGGTCTCTTCCAACTCTAGGGAAGACCGCTCTGAGTCGCCTAAGGGTATACAAGCGCAGTAAATAAATAAATAAGTACATAGGGTTCTATGATTCTAACCAGAGCGTGGACCACCGTGGCCAAGTCAGACATTATTATTATTATTATTATTATTATTATTATTATTTAAACTTCTATGCTGCGACTCCCCTGGGGCTCGGAGCGGCTTACAAGAATGGCTAAAATCTAACACAATTTAAAAGCAATTTAAAACAATTTAAAAACAACAGTATCAAACATTAAAAGCCTGTCGGAACAGGTATGTCTTCCATGCCCTGCGGAAAGCTGATAGGTGCCACAAGGCTCGGACTTCAGGTGGCAGAGTGTTCCAGAGTGATGGTGCCACTGCTGTGAAGGCTCTGCGCCTGGTTGCTGTTAGATGCAAGGTCTTGACACTGGGGACTTCCAATAGATCTTGGTCCTCAGAACGGAGGGATCTCTGGGGTTGGTAGGGGGTGAGACGATCCCTCAGATACATTGGCCCCAGACCATGCAAGGCCTTAAAGGTGAGTACCATCACTTTGAAAGTGATCCGGTGCTCAATTGGTAACCAGTGCAGCTGTAGTAAGATTGGTGTTATGTGGCATCTCATCGGAATTCCCGCAAGAAGCCGAGCAGCTGCGTTTTGTACCAACTTGAGCTTCCGAATCACCGACAGAGGGAGGCCAATGTAGAGGGCGTTACAGTAGTCCAGTCTTGAGATGACCGTGGCCTGGATCACCGTAGCTAGGTCGTCCCTGGACAGGGAGGGGGCCAGCCGTCTAGCCTGCCGCAGGTGAAAGAAAGAAGGCGGTTCTGCTCACGGCGGAGACCTGTGCCTCCATCCTCAGCAGAGGGTTCAAAAGGACTCCCAGACTCTTGACCAATGATGACGGGCGTAACGCCTCGCCATCCAGGGTGGGCAGATGGATGTCCCCACTGCCCGATCCACCCAGCCATAGGATCTCCGTCTTTGCTGGATTCACCCTCAACCTGTTGGCACGCAGCCATCCAGTCACGGCCTCGAGGCACTGATGGAAACAATCGGGTCCAGAGTCCGGTCGGCCTTCCATCTTCAGCACCAGCTGAGTGTCATCGGCGTACTGATAACACTCAAGCCCAAAACCTCGAACCAGCTGAGCAAGTGGTCGCATATAGATGTTAAACAACAGAGGTCTCTTCCAACTCTAGGATTCTATGGGGGGCTTTTGGGAGGGGAATATTATAATAATATTATCAATATTATTATAAGTATGTGAGAGGAAGTCATACGGAGGAGGAGGGAGCAAGCTTGTTTTCTACTGCCCTGGAAAGGAGATTCCACCTGAACATTAGGTAGAACTTCTTGACTGTGAGAATGTTCAGCAGTGGAACTCTCTGCCCCAGAGTGTGGTGGAGGCTCCTTCTTTGAAGGCTTTGAAACAGGCTGGATGGCCATCTGTCAGGGGTGCTTTGAATGCAATGTTCCTGCTTCTTGGCAGAATGGGGTTGGACTGGATGGCCCATGAGGTCTCTTCCAACTCTAGGATTCTATGTGAGAGCTGTTCAGCAGTGTAACTCTCTGCCCCAGAGTGTGGTGGAGGCTCCTTCTTTGGAGGCTTTGAAAGAGAGGCTGGGTGTCCATCTGTCAGGGGTGCTTTGAATATAATTTTCCTGCTTCTTAGCAGAACGGGGTTGGACTGGATGATGGCCCATGAGGTCTCTTCTAACTCTAGGATTCTATGTGAGAGCCGTTCAGCCGTGGAACTCTCTGCCCCAGAGTGTGGTGGAGGGTCCTTCTTTGGAGGCTTTGAAACAGAGGCTGGGTGTCCATCTGTCAGGGGTGCTTTGAATACAATTTTCCTGCATTTTGGCAGAATGGGGTTGGACTGGATGGCCCATGAGGTCTCTTCCAACTCTAGGATTCTAGGATTCTAACCAGAGCGTGGACCACTGTGGTCAAGTCTGACTTCCCAAGGCATGGGCGCAGCTGGCGCACAAGCTTTTATGTGCAAAAGCTCCCCTGGCCACCACCGAAACCTGTTGTTCCAGGCTCAGTAATGAACCCAGGATCACTCCCAAGGTGCGAACCTGCATCTTCGGGGGGAGTGAATGCCTCGAATGTCCCAATCCCAAAGTGTATCCTTTGGTACCCAATGCCAGGCCGGCTTCTCTCCACCGGTTGGGCCAAGAGACGGACTTTGCAAGCCAAATGGGAAGTAGGATTTCACGCTGTTCTTCCAAATCATGCGAGAGGCGAGACAGAACCCCTCTTTCCTCCTCCTCTTCCCTCCGTTCCCCAATTAATCTCCTTATTAGCCTTCGTTCCCAGCGCGTCCGACTGATCTCTGCCTTTCCTCTGGCAGAGTTGCTCTAAATGCCACTAAATGAACCATTAAGAATGCAGTTTAATTTGATTACACTGAGCAAACTGAAGGGAATACTCGGCAAGAGGGAACAAAGGGTTGGGTCATGCTCTCTCACCATGGTGGCAGGGCCTTTGTGCATTGACCGGGCCCTCATTAGCTTTGCTTGACCCCTGGCCTCCAGTGAATAGGTAGCCATCTTGACCACTAGCCTTGCTCCCCTGAACCTCAACCCTCACCTGACCATTTCTTCTTTGCTACTTCCAAGAAGCAGCATTGTTTTGGAAAAATGGAAATCGCCATAACCTTTTGGTCTTTGGAAAGGCATGACCTTGTTGGAATACTCAATGTGCCCAAATTTGAATACTGGTGGAGGGATTGATTTGGTCATTTGGGAGTTGAAGTTCCTGGGATTTATAGTTCACCTTCAATCAAAGAGCATTCTGAACTCCACTAATGATGGAATTGAACCAAACTTGGCACACAAAACTTCCACAACCAACAACAAATACTAGAAGGGTTTGGTGAGCATTAACTTGAGTTTGGGAGTTGTAGTTCACCTACATCCAGAGAGCACTGTGGATTCAAACAATGATGGATCTGGACCAAACTTCGTACGGAACTGAACTAAACTTGGCACACAACTCCCATGACCAACAGAAAATACTGGAAGGATTTGGTGGGCACTGACCTTGAGTTTGGGAGTTCCAGGTCACCTACATCCAGAGAGCACTGTGGATTCAAACAAGGATGGATTTGGTCCTAACTTTGTACGGATACTCAATATACCCAAATGTGAATACTAGTGGAGCTTGGGGAAAATAGACCTTGACATTAGGGAGTCGTAATTCTGCTGGGATTTATAGTTCACCTACAATCAAAGAGCATTCTGAAGTCCACCAACGATGGTATTGAACCAAACTTGGCACACAGAACTCCAAAAAGCAACGGAAAATACTGGAAGGGTTTGGTGGGCACTGACCTTGAGTTTGGGAGTTGTAGTTCACCTACATCCAGAGCGTACTGTGGATTCAAACAAGGATGCATCTGGACCTAACTTCGTACGGATACTCAATATACCCAAATGTGAACACTGTTGGAGTTTGGGGAAAATGGACCTTGACTTTTGAGAGTTTTAGTTGCTGGGATTTATAGTTCACCTATACAATCAAAGAGCATTCCGAACCCCACCAACGATAGAATTGGGCCAAACTTCCAACACAGAACCCACATGACCAACAGAAAATACTCTGACAGCCCCTCACGACCCCCCCCCCGGGGTCCTGACCCCCAGGTTGAGAAATGCTGTTGCAAACCAACCCCGAATCTAATTTTGTGATATTTACCTGCAATTCTGCTGATGATCGTGCCATTACTGCTCAAGCAGGGAGCTTTGAGATGGTTGAACAGAAGCTCTCTGAAGCTCTAAGTGCCCTTACTGCGTACTACAGGGAAAACCAGCTGATCCCTAATCCATCTAAAACACAGACATGTGCTTTTCACCTTAAGAAGAGAGAAGCATCCCGAGCTCTGAGGATGACTTGGGAAGAAATCCCATTGGAGCATTGCAGCGTACCCAAGTACCTGGGAGTCACTCTGGACCATGCTCTGACCTACAAGAAGCACTGCCTGAACATCAAGCAAAAAGTGGGTGCTAGAAACAATATCATACAAAAGCTGACTGGCACAACCTGGGGATCACAACCAGACACAGCGAAGACATCTGCCCTTGCGCTATGCTACTCTGCTGCTGAGTCTGCATGCCCAGTGCGGAACACATCTCACCACACTAAAACAGTAGATGTGGCTCTTAATGAGACATGCCACATTATCACGGGTTGTCTGCGCCCCACACCACTGGAGAAATTACACTGCTTAGCCAGTATTGCACCACCTGACATCCGCCGGGAAGTAGCAGCCAATAGTGAAAGGACCAAGGCAGAGACATCTCCAGCTCATCCCTTGTTTGGGTCTCAGCCAGCACGTCAACGACTCAAATCCAGACATAGTTTTCTAAGATCTACAGAGACACTCGCTGGAACACCTCAGCAAGTGAGAGTCCAAAAGTGGCAGGCTCAACCAATGACTGATACCAAATGGGAGACTCCCCCCTGGGCACACAGAAGACGGGGCGACTTGGAAGGCGCTGAACAGACTGCGCTCTGGCACCACGAGATGCAGAGCCAACCTCAAGAAATGGGTCACAAAGTGGAATCCACGACATGCGAGCGTGGAGAAGAGCAAACCACTGACCACCTGCTGCAATGCACCCTGAGTCCTGCCACATGCACCATGGAGGACCTCCTTGCGGCAACACCAGAGGCACTCCAAGGGGACAGAGACTGGTCAAAGGACATCTAATCAACTACCAAGCTTGCAAACTTTGTGTTTTGTCTGTCTGTTTGTTTGTTTTGTTAAAAATGTAATACAACTGTTTGGTTTGCTCCTGACACGATAAATAATAACCTGCAATTGTTTTTTCCCGGTCTCCTCCAGAGCGATCCCCTCACCGTCCCATTTTGCAAGCTGGCCTCCCAGCAAACAAGACCGTCTCCTTGGGGAGCAACGTGGAGTTTGTTTGCAAAGTCTACAGTGACCCTCAGCCGCACATCCAGTGGCTGAAGCACATTGAGGTCAATGGGAGCAGGATTGGGCCCAACAACTTGCCTTATGTACAGGTCCTGAAGGTAAGGAGAGCCATTTGGGGCTTAATGGGGGTGTGCGGATCCTGGGAAAGTGCAGCCAAGTAGGCAAAAGGCTGCATTTGCGGGGGAAATGACTTTTAGGCACTGCCGTTCCTGAATTTGGCTTGCTCTGCTGCACTACAGCTATGCAAAATATCAAAGTAAGTACTGCCATAATGGAGCAACTGTGCCTTTTTTAATACTTCATTTTAGAATGATGCTAAACTACTTTAAAAAGCTGATTGGAAAGTGTATTGTCGAAGGCTTTCATGGCCGGAATCACTGTTGTTGTGAGTTTTCCGGGCTGTCTGGCCACGTTCCAGAAGCATTCTCTCCTGACGTTTCTCCTGCATCTATGACGGGCATCCTCCAACAGGGGAATCTGCGACAGGAAACAATCAGGGCCAGCTAATCACCTCCCAACAAAGGATCGGAGCCAGCTAACACCTCTCAACAAAGGGATTGATTAGCATTTAATGGCCTCTCAGCTTCAAACCTGGCTGGTTGCTGCCTGGGGGAATCCTTTGTTGGGAGGGGAATCAATCAGGGTCAGCTAACACCTCTCAACAAAGGATTCCCCCAGGCAAGAAGCATCCAGGCTTTGAAACTGCAAGGCTATTCAATGCTAACCAAAGTAGAACATGAACATTTAATGGCCTTTCAGCTTCAAAGCATGACTGGTTGCTGCCTTGGGGAATCCTTTGTTTGTAGGTGAATCAATCAGGGCCAGCTAACGCATCCCAACAAAGAGCTTGATTAGCATTTAATGGACTCTAAGCTTCAAAGCCTGGCTGGTTACTGCCTGGGAGAATCCTTTGTTGGGAGGGGAATCAATCGGGGCCAGCTAACACCTCTCAACAAARGGCTTGATTAGYATTTAATGGACTCTAAGCTTCAAAGCCTGGCTGGTTGCTGCCTGGGAGAATCCTTTGTTGGGAGGGGAATCAATCGGGGCCAGCTAACACCTCTCAACAAAAGGCTTGATTAGTATTTAATGGACTCTAAGCTTCAAAGCCTGGCTGGTTGCTGCCTGGGAGAATCCTTTGTTGGGAGGGGAATCAGTCGGGGCCAGCTAACACCTCTCAACAAAGGGCTTGATTAGCATTTAATAGCCTCTCAGCTTTTTTAGAAGCGAGGTTGAGAGGTCTGTTGGAAACTAGGCAAGTGGGGTTTAAAGAACTCCTGTCTGCTTGAGGCAAGTGTGAATGTTGCAATTCACCACCTTGATTAGCATTTAAGCTTCAAACCCTGGTTGGTTGCTGCCCGGGGGAATCCTTTGTTGGGAGGTGAATCAATCAGGGCCAGCTAACACCACCCAACAAAGGGCTTGATTAGCATTTAATGGCCTCTCACCTTTGTGGGGGTGGGGGGTGTTAGCTGGTCTTGATTGATACACCTCCCAACAAAGGATTCCCCCAGGCAGCAACCAGCCAGGCTTTGAACCTGAAGGGCCATTAAGTGCTAATCAAGGTGACCAATTGTGACATTCACACCTGTTGGGAAAACGGCAGTAGTTCCTTTATTTTCTGCAATACAGAGATCAAAGCAATACAGCCATTTCAAAGCAAGCCTGCTTGTGAGTGGTTATTTTTCCTTGCTATTCGGATCCTACAGACTGACACCAACAGACAAGAGTTCTTTCTTCCATCCTGGACATTATTCCACAGGGATATAACCCTCTCTTGCCTAGTTTTGGATTGAATGACCTTGCAGCTTCAAAGCCTGGCTGCTTTCAGAGAGATATAAACCCCACTTGCTTAGTTTCCAACAGACCCCTCAACCTCTGAAGATGCCTGCCATAGATGTGGGCGAAACGTCAGGAGGGAATGCTTCCGGAACGTGGCCATATAGCTCGGGAAACTCCTAGCAACGCAATGCGAGTGATGTTGTTGCTTTGGGAGCGGAGTGGCGATGCCCGTGCTCCGGCCACCGAGTGACTCCTGTGTTGTTGGTCTTGTTCTAGCACTCGGGGATTAATAGCTCTGATGCGGAGGTGCTGACCCTGTATAATGTGACAGAGGCTGAGAGCGGGGAGTATGTGTGTAAGGTTTCCAATTATATTGGTGAGGCTAACCAGTCTGCGTGGCTGACCGTCACCAGACCCATGGCTGAAGGTAAATGGGAAGGAGGCCCCTTGGGCGGCTCTTGCTCGGACAGTCCCGCTCCTTAGCGGTGGGGGGACGTGGGCTCTCGGGGCTCTCCTGTTTCTGCTCTGTTTCTGGTGCCGAAAGCCATGGAAAAATCCTCGGGCGGAGTTGGAGCAGCTCAGTTTCACACTCTTCCCCTCTTCCTCTTCCTCATTCTCCCCTTCCGACTTTTCCTAACCTTCTCTCTCTATTAATTCAGCCAAACTGGAATCAACCCTCATCAGAAAAAAAATGATGTCGAAGGATTTCATGGTTGAATCACTGGGTGTTGCATCCCAGATCAGGAAACGAGACCATAAGATTCAATCCACCACGCTGGACTGTAGGGAAAACAATCCTTGTTTATTGATGAAAAATTGGTTACAAAAGAAAGTTAAATGCAAAGTCAGAAAGCCACCATAGAAACACAGCAGTCAGGAAAATCTCTGAACTTGAGTAAAATTCCAAAAACCACAATACAAGAACCAGGAACCTGTTAGCCTCTCGCTAACCATGTACTTGAAAACTAGAAGCCTCTGGGATTACCGGCCATAGAACACAGGAATTCTGCCAAGGCACAGCCACAGTCCCAAACGTTGCTTGATCTAACGAGACACCCGGCAGGAGGCCCCTTAAACCAAAGAAACTATTCCTTGAAACGCCCCTTGGCTTTGAAGCCTGGGCCTGCGTCTCCTGTAATCTATTTGACCTTCGTAGAAACTGTGAATCACTCCTGTCTCTAGCTATCTGTTCCCTTCGGTCCTCACTAAAAAACCCAGGTGGAGAGCTATCACGGCTGGATTCCAAAACATTTTCATCCGGCTGTTCAGTTTCACTTTCTCCGCCGCTGACCTCAGCATCAACAACAGTTTCCACACTGTCAGGGGGAGCTACATGTTCAGTGGCTTGCTCAGTTGGAAATACTATCAGAGAATCAGGTTCACACAGATCAGGCTGAACCCCAACACTGGGTTGCTGTGAGTTTTCCAGGCTGTCTGGTCATGTTCCAGAGGTTGTGAGGTGCCTCACAACTTCTGAAGATGCCTGCCTTAGATGTGGGTGGAATGTCAGGAGAGAGTGCTACATGGCCCTGAAAAACTCACAGCAGCCCATTGTCCCCGTCTTTTTTCCAAATTGGCTTCCCTGCTTTTTTCCCCTGTGAGACGCTTTAGTTGTGATCTTTGGTGATCTTTTCACCGAGCGACTAAATCAGTTTCAATATTATCCGACGCTCAATAGAGTTGCCTCGCGGAGAGAGCAACGTCAGAAGGAATGGAATTGCCCGTCACTTCCAACCAACACAAATTGACCCTTGCCAAAAGGACCCAGAGTAGCATTGCGGCGAAGGGAGTGAGATGGTTCCGTTCTTCTTTTAGTTTCTCCTGAGATATGAACCAGCCTCTCAATGTTCATCACTCTCCACAAAGAAGGGGATGATTCTCTTTTGGATACGGGTTCAGACACAGTATTTCCATTGACCCTTGGAGAGGTTGACCCAGGTTGGTGCTTGGACTAGGCTGCCTAGACCAAACTTGGCACGAATACTCGATATGCCGAATTGTGAACACTGGTGGAGTTTGGGGAAAATAGACCTTGACATTTGGGAGTTGTAGTTGCTGGGATTTATAGTTCACCTCCAATCAAAGAGCATTCTGAATTCCACCAACATTGGAATCGAACCAATCTTGGCACACCGAACTCCCATGACCAACAGAAAATACTGGAAGAGTTTAGCGGGCACTGACCTTGAGTTTGAGAGTTGTAGTTCACCTGCACCCAGAAAGCACTGTGGAGTCAAACAATATGGATCTGGACCAAACTTGGCACAAATACTCAATATGCCAAATTGTGAACACTGGTGGAGTTTGGGGAAAATAGACCTTGACATTTGGGAGTTGTAGTTGCTGGGATTTATAGTTCACCTCCAATCAAAGAGCATTCTGAATTGAACCAATCTTGGCACACCGAACTCCCATGACCAACAGAAAATACTGGAAGAGTTTAGGGCACTGACCTTGAGTTTGGAGTTGTAGTTCACCTACATCCAGAGAGCACTGTGGACTCAAACAATGATGGATCTGGACCAAACTTGACATGAATACTCAATATGCCCAAATGTGAACACGGGTGGAGTTTGGGGAAAATAGACTGATATTTGGGAGTTGCAGTTGCTGGGATTTATAGTTCACCTACGATCAAAGAGCATTCTGAATTCCACCAACATTGGAATCGAACCAATCTTGGCACACCGAACTCCCATGACCAACAGAAAATACTGGAAGAGTTTAGCGGGCACTGACCTTGAGTTTGAGAGTTGTAGTTCACCTGCACCCAGAAAGCACTGTGGAGTCAACCAATATGGATCTGTATTGTCGAAGGCTTTCATGGCCGGAATCCATGGGTTGTTGTAGGTTTTTCCGGGCTATATGGCCATGTTCTAGAGGCAATTTTTCTCCTGACATTTCGCCTGCATCTATGGCAAGCATCCTCAGAGGTTGTGAGATCTGTTGGAACTGGGAAAAATGAGTTTATATATCTGTGGAATATTCCTGGTCATTCCACAGATATATAAACCCATTTTTCCTACTTCCAACAGACCTCACTACCTCTGAGGATGCTTGCCATAGATGCAGGCGAAACGTCAGGAGAAAAAGTGCCTCCAGAACAGGGCCATATAACCCGAAAAAACCTACAACAACCCAATATGGATCTGGACCAAACTTGGCACAAATACTTAATAGGCCAAATTGTGAACACTGGTGGAGTTTGCGGAAAATAGACCTTGATATTTGGGAGTTGCAGCTGCTGGGATTTATAGTTCACCTACGATCAAAGAACCCCTTGAATCCCATTGATAAAATTGGGCCAAAATTCCCACACAGAACTCCCGTGACCAAGAGAAAATACTGTGTTTTCTGATGGTCTTTGGTGACCCCTCATGACCCATCCAGGGGTCCTGACCCCCAGGTTGAGAAACACTGATATACAGTAAGTTTTTTCTGGAGGTTCCAAACGCTTGCTCAAAGAGCCAGAAGCGACTTGCAGTTTCTTAAGTCGCTCCTGACATGAAGCAAAATCAGAATCTCTCCTTTATCTCCTTGCTTGATGTGTCTCCTCTTCTCGGATGGTGTCCTCTCCAGTTCCACCTCCGCCTGTCCCTTTGCTTGCTCCCGTCCCCTGAAACTAAGCTGGTCCTTCCCCGACTCGAGGTCACTTTTTCCATGTGGCCCATCACCAGCATGTTCCGATGGGCAGGGAAACTCAGTTTGGTGAAGGGTTTTACTGTGGTGTGTTTTGATTTAACCCTGCCTGGGTCGACGGTTGTCCTCCAACTCTTGGTCCACTGAGACCAGCCGTGGTGGTGTCTGCAACTCCTTCAGGAGGTCCTGGGGGCATGTGTATCCCCTCCTCCTCCTCCTTCTCCTCCTCCTCCACTTGGGTTCCTGAAGGGTGCTTAGATGTTCTTCTCCTCTTGTCCTTTCTCTCTCTCTCTCTTCTTCCGTTCTTCCCTCCTTCTCTAGACGGCTGGTGTTAACACAACTGACAAAGAAATGGAAGTCCTTCACTTAAGGAATGTCTCCTTTGAGGACGCTGGGCAGTATACCTGTTTGGCGGGTAATTCTATTGGAATCTCCCACCACTCTGCATGGTTGACGGTTCTGGAAGGTAGATACCGGTTCTACTCCTTTCTCGGCCTCTCGGCCTCTTCCTTCTTGGTTCGGGGTCAAGCGTGTCCTGGTTTGCAAGAGCCAACTCTCTTGGAGATGCCGTGATGGTGGACCACATCTTGAAAGGGAGTGTGGTTTCGTGACAAACCTGATCGGGTGGGTGAAAACTCTGTGATTGACATCCCAAATAATTTTGGTCCTATGGTCCAGTCCAGGGTCGTCCACATGTATCTCCAACGGTTCTTGCAAGCCAAGGCATGTCCAGTCTAGATTTAACTGGACGTTTGGTCCAGGTTTCTCCATGTTCTTACAAAGTGGCAATTCTCTTTGTCTCTCCACAAAGTGGAAGGGGAACTGGTGTTCTTTTATGCCCAGAAAAGCCAAAAACAAAAGCCATGGATGACATGCCACTCGTACGTTCATGTTCCTCTCCATATGCATCCACAATCCTCTCTCGATCCCACCCTGACTCAAGTTTTGTGAGTTCAAAAACCAGAGTTTTTGTATACTAACCATTTTGCACCTTGAAGAGGCCTTTGAGCTCCTCTCCTGAACCTAAAATGTCCATGGAAGGTCTCCAAACATGGGAAGAATGTCCTCATGGCTTCTCAAGAATGTAGCAGGAAAAGGTGCTACTTTTTTTGGAAGCAGGTCAAGTGAAGGGGGGTGCCTTAGGCTGATTCACTGATCATAGAATCATAGAATCAAAGAGTTGGAAGAGACCTCATGGGCCATCCAGTCCAACCCCATTCTGCCAAGAAGCAGGAATATTGCATTCAAATCACCCCTGACAGATGGCCATCCAGCCTCTGCTTAAAAGATTCCAAAGAAGGAGCCTCCACCACACTCCGGGGCAGAGAGTTCCACTGCTGAACGGCTCTCACAGTCAGGAAGTTCTTCCTCATGTTCAGATGGAATCTCCTCTCTTGTAGTTTGAAGCCATTGTTCCTGCGTCCTAGTCTCCAAGGAAGCAGAAAGGAAGCTTGCTCCCTCCTCCCTTTGGTTTCCTCTCACATAGTTATACATGGCTATCATATATCCTCTCAGCCTTCTCTTCTTCAGGCTAAACATGCCCAGGTCCTTAAGCCGCTCCTCATAGGGCTTGTTTCTAGACCCTTGATCATTTTGAGTCGCCCTCCTCTGGACACATTCCAGCTTGTCAATATCTCTCTTGAATTGTGGTGCCCAGAATTGGACACAATATTCCAGGTGTGGTCTAACCAAAGCAGAAGAGAGCATGGGGAGCATGACTTCCCTAGATCTAGACACTAGGCTCCTCTTGATGCAGGCCAAAATCCCATTGGCTTTTTTTGCTGCCACATCTCATTGTTGGCTCATGGCTAAGGCACCTGATTCTTAAACATCTGGAGGACCAAATGTTTTCCATCTTTATTCTAAAAGATGTGGAGTTCTAGTTTGTATTTGGGGAGACCACTTCTCTTACCATAAGTCCAAGGGTCCTCAAACATTTTAAACCGGGGGGCAGTTCACTGTCCCTCAGACCGTTGGCGGGCCGGACTATAGGTTTTTTTCTTTAAAAATCAATAAAAAAAATCCCTATGCACATTGCAGATATCTCATTTTGCTGTGTGGAAGGGCCCTTAGGGAGGGGGTTCTTTCTCACCCTCTTTAAGGCAGTAATTCCAGGAGCAGAGAATGGGAAATCTTCCTATTTCTAGTCTGAACAAAATCTGGCTACCAGTATAAAACTCTAAAATTATAACTGTAAATAAAGAACAACACTCAAACACAGGGGAACTCCAGACAAGAAACAATCAGGGCCAGCTAATCACCTCTCAACAAAGGATTCTCCCTAAAAACTGTCAGGCTATGAAATGGTCATCAAGGTGGCCAATTGAAACATTCATACCTACCTCCAACAGACAAGAGTTCTTTCTCCCACCCTGGATCTTCCACAATTTCCCTAGTTAAAGGTTTTCCTCTGACATGAAGTCCAGTCGTGTCTGACTCTGGGGTGTGGGGCTCATCTGCATTTCTAAGTCGAAGAGCCGGCGTTGTCCGTAGACACCTCCAAGGTCATGTGGCCGGCATGACTGCATGGAGCGCCGGGGCAGCCTCCCTTGGCTGGCTCACGCTGCCAACGGGCCTGATGGATAGCATGAGCCAGCCAAGGGAGGGGCACTGTGTGAGGGGGCGCTCCTCCTCCGCGGGCCGGATAAGTGCCCTTGGCGGGCCGGAAGTGGCCCGCGGGCCGTAGTTTGAGGACCCCTGCCATAGTTGGCCATCCATGCCCTCTGTTATTTTAACTCTAGAGCTGATCCAGGCAATAGAAATCCCCAGAGTGCATTCTGGTGGCAGAATTCAAATCCAGACGACTAAAATCCGAAAGTATCAATGGGTGCTAGATTCACAGTGAGACCTTTTAAATAATAATAATAATATTTATTTATTTATTGTAAACATTTATATTCCGCCCTTCTCACCCCGCAGGGGACTCAGGGAGGAGCACACCATATATACGGCAAACATTCAATGCCAGGACATAATAATAATAATAATAATAATAATAATAATAATAATAATTTTTGTCATGTCAGGAGTGACTCCTGGTGTGGGAGAATTGGCTGTCTGCAAGGACGTTGCCCAGGGGATGCCCGGATGATTTGATGTTTTTATCATCCTTGTGGGAGGCTTCTCTCATGTCCCCGCATGAGGAGCTGGAGCTGATAGAGGGAGCTCATCCACCTCTCCCCGGATTCGAACCTGCGACCTGTCAGTCTTCAGTCCTGCCGGCACAGGGGTTTAACCCACTGCGCCACCGGGGGCTCCATATAATAATAATCATCATCATCATCTTTATTTATATACCGCTCCATCTCCCCGAGGGGACTCAGAGCGGTTCCCAAGTAATATCACAAAACATACAAAGTAAAAAAACAAGCAAAATATAAGCATAAAACCATAAATATATACAAAAATTAAAATCACTTAGATTAACACTAAAAGTTGCTTTAAAACCATCTCAGGACACCATTTTTCCTCATTGCACTGCCCCAAAGCCAGTCAAGGTGGCCCCAGTGGTGATCGGCACGCTGGGTGCAGTGCCTAAAGACCTTGGCCTGCACTTAAGCACAATCAGCGCTGACAAAATTACCATCTGCCAGCTGCAGAAGGCCACCTTACTGGGATCTGCACGCATTATTCACCGATACATCACACAATCCTAGACACTTGGGAAGTGTCCGACGTGTGATCCAATACAACAGCCAGCAGTGTGTCTGCTGTGGACTCATCTTGTGTTTCTAATAATAATAATAATAATAATAATAATAATAATAATAATAATAATAATAATAACAAATCACACAGTCCTAGACACTTGGGAAGTGTCCGACGTGTGATCCAATACAACAGCCAGCAGAGTGATCTTGTCTGCTGTGGACTCATCTTGTTGTGTTTAATAATAATAATAATAATAATAATAATAATAATAATAATAATAATAATAATGGTGATTGGCACACTGGGTACAGTGCCTAGAGACCTTGGCCTGCACTTAAAAACAATTAGCGCTGACAAAATGACCAGCTGCAAAAGGCCACCTTACTGGGATCTGCACGCATTATTTGCCAATACATCACACAGTCCTAGACACTTTGGGAAGGGTCCCACGTGTGATCCAATGCAAGAGCCAGAAGAGTGATCTTGTCTGCTGTGGACTCATCTTGTTGTATTTATAATAATCATAATCATAATCATCATCTTTTGCCATGCCAAAAAGTTCTCAGCTGGCATTTGGAAACAATAAACATTGACAAAATGTATGCTGTGACATACTGTGTTTTTGTATAATAATAATAATAATAATAATAATAATAATAATAATAATAATAATAATAATAATAATACATTTGCCATACCAAAAAGATCTCAGCTGGCATTTGGAAACTATAAACATTGATAAAATGTATGCTGTGACATACTGTGTTTTTGTATAATAATAATAATAATAATAATAATCATCATCATCATCTATTATTATTATTATTATTATTATTATTATTATTATTATTATTATTAAACAGAGGCTGGATGGCCATCTGTCAGGGGTGATTTGAATGCAATATTCCTGCATCTTGGCAGAATGGGGTTGGACCGGATGGCCCATGAGGTCTCTTCCAACTCTTTGATTCTAGGATTATAATAATAATAATAATAATAATAATAATAATAATAATAATTTTTGCCATGCCAAAAAGATCTCAGCCAGCATTTGGAAACAATAAATATTGACAAAATGTATGCTGTGACATACTGTGTTTTTGTATAATAATAATAATAATAATAATAATAATAATAATAATAATAATAATAATAATAATAATAATTGGAAACAATAAACATTAACAAAATGTATGCTGTGACATACTGTGTTTTTGTATAATAATAATAATAATAATAATAATAATAATAATAATAAACATTTGCCATACCAAAAAGATCTCAGCCAGCATTTGGAAACAATAAATATTGACAAAATGTATGCTGTGACATACTGTGTTTTTGTATAATAATAATAATAATAATAATAATAATAATATATTATTATTATTATTATTATTATTATTATTATTATTATTATTATTATTAAACAGAGGCTGGATGGCCATCTGTCAGGGGTGCTTTGAATGCAATATTCTTGCATCTTGGCAGGGGGTTGGACTGCATGGCCCATGAGGTCTCTTCCAACTCTATGATTCTATGATTCTAACTACAACTCCCAAATGTCAATATCTATTTCCCCCCAACTCCACCAGTGTTAATAATTTTTGCCATGCCAAAAAGATCTCAGCCAGCATTTGGAAACAATAAATATTGACAAAATGTATGCTGTGACATACTGTGTTTTTGATATATAATAATAATAATAATAATAATAATAATAATAATAATAATAATAATAATAATAATAATTGGAAACAATAAACATTAACAAAATGTATGCTGTGACATACTGTGTTTTTGTATAATAATAATAATAATAATAATAATAATAATAATAATAAACATTTGCCATACCAAAAAGATCTCAGCCAGCATTTGGAAACAATAAATATTGACAAAATGTATGCTGTGACATACTGTGTTTTTGTATAATAATAATAATAATAATAATAATAATAATAATAATAATATTATTATTATTATTATTGGAAACAATAAACATTAACAAAATGTATGCTGTGACATACTGTGTTTTTGTATAATAATAATAATAATAATAATAATAATAATAATAATAATAATAATAATAAAACATTTGCCATACCAAAAAGATCTCAGCCAGCATTTGGAAACAATAAATATTGACAAAATGTATGCTGTGACATACTGTGTTTTTGTATAATAATAATAATAATAATAATAATAATAATAATAATAATAATAATAATAATAATAATTGGAAACAATAAACATTAACAAAATGTATGCTGTGACATACTGTGTTTTTGTATAATAATAATAATAATAATAATAATAATAATAATAATAATAAACATAATTGGAAACAATAAACATTAACAAAATGTATGCTGTGACATACTGTGTTTTTGTATAATAATAATAATAATAATAATAATAATAATAATAATAATAATATATTATTATTATTATTATTATTATTATTATTATTATTAAACAGAGGCTGGATGGCCATCTGTCAGGGGTGATTTGAATGCAATATTCCTGCATCTTGGCAGAATGGGGTTGGACCGGATGGCCCATGAGGTCTCTTCCAACTCTTTGATTCTAGGATTATAATAATAATAATAATAATAATAATAATAATAATAATAATAATAATAATAATAATAATTGGAAACAATAAACATTAACAAAATGTATGCTGTGACATACTGTGTTTTTGTATAATAATAATAATAATAATAATGAGGTGGGAGGGGTGGAATATAAATGCTGTAAATAAATAAATAAACCCAAACTGGGATCCAGAAAGAGTGAGGCCAGTTGGTTGCGCTGGTTTCCAAATTCCAATCCCCTTTCCTCCCGAAGTGACTGTGGGAACACCCCTTGCCCTTCCACACACACACACATCCAGCTGCCACATGGATTTATTAAAATTGTCTCTCTTTGGGGTCTGCTTTGGGTCTAATACCATTTTTGCACCGGTCCAGCCATGGAAGACAAGCCTGCGATGATGACCTCCCCGCTGTACCTGGAGATCATTATATACTGCACAGGGGGGTTCCTCATCTCCTGCATGATTGTGACGGTCCTCCTCTACAAGATGAAGAGCACCACCAAGAAGACCGACTTCAACAGCCAGCTGGCGGTGCACAAGCTGGCCAAGAGCATCCCTCTGCGCAGACAGGTAACAGAAAGTAGATAGGGGGTTTGATTGCCACCTACCACCCTTCCCCTTGGAAAGTGCTTTGCCTGTGGGTTTAGGAAGCTTGGTGCATTTGGGGGCCTTCTCCTATGATGCATTCATAGAATCCTAGAATCCAAGAGTTGGAAGAGACCTCCTGGGCCATCCAGTCCAACCCCATTCTTCCAAGAAGCAGGAATATTGCATTCAAATCACCCCTGACAGATGGCCATCCAGCCTCTGTTTAAAAGCTTCCAAAGAAGGAGCCTCCACCACACTCCGGGGCAGAGAGTTCCACTGCTGAACGGCTCTCACAGTCAGGAAGTTCTTCCTCATGTTCAGATGGAATCTCCTTTCCTGTAGAATCCTAGAATCCAAGAGTTGGAAGAGACCTCCTGGGCCATCATCCAGTCCAACCCCATTCTGCCAAGAAGCAGGAATATTGCATTCAAATCACCCCTGACAGATGGCCATCCAGCCTCTGTTTAAAAGCATCCAAAGAAGGAGCCTCCACCACACTCCGGGGCAGAGAGTTCCACTGCTGAACGGCTCTCACAGTCAGGAAGTTCTTCCTCATGTTCAGATGGAATCTCCTTTCTTTGTAGTTTGAAGCCATGGCTCCATTGCGTCCTAGTCTCCAGGGAAGCAGAAAACAAGCTTGCTCCCTCCTCCTCCCTGTGGCTTCCTCTCACATATTTATACATGGCTATCATCATATCTCCTCTCAGCCTTCTCTTCTTCAGGCTAAACATGCCCAGCTCCTTAAGCCGCTCCTCATAGGGCTTGACCCTTGATCATTTGAGTCGCCCTCCTCTGGACACATTCCAGCTTGTCAATATCTCCCTTCAATTGTGGTGACCGGAATTGGACACAATATTCCAGGTTTGGTTTAACCAAGGCAGAATAGAGCAAGGGGATTGATTTTGTCATTTGAGAGTTGTAGTTGCTGGGATTTATAGTTCACCTACAATCAAAGAACATTCTGAACTCCAAAAATGATGAAATTGAACCAAACTTGGCACACAGAACTCCCATGATCAACAGAAAACACTACAAGAGTTTGGTGGGCATTGACGTTGAGTTTGGGGGTTGTAGTTCACCTACATCCAGAGAGCACTGTGGACTCAAACAATGATAGGACTCTACCAAACTTGGCACGAATCCTCAATATGCCCAAATGTGAACACTAGTGGAGTTTGGGGGAAATAGACCTTGACATTTGGGAGTTGTAGATGCTGGGATTTATAGCTCACCTACAATCAAAGAGCATTCTGAACTCCACCAATGATGGAATTGATCCAAACTTGGCACACAGAACTCCCATGTCTACCAAAAAATACTGGAAGGATTTGGTGAGCATTGACCTTGAGTTTTGGAGTTGTAGTTCACCTACATCCAGAGAGCACTGTGGACTCAAACAATGATGGATGTGGACCAAACTTGGCACTGATACTCAATATGCACAAATATGAACACTGCTGCAAATAGACCTTGACATTTCAGAGTTGTAGTTGATGGGATTTATAGTTCACGTACAATCAAAGAGCATTTTGAACTCCAACAATGATGAAATTGAACCAGCTTTGGAAGGGTTTGGTGGGCAATGACCTTGAGTTTTGGAGTTGTACTGACCTTGAGTTTTGGAGTTGTAGTTCACCTACATCCAGAGAGCACTGTGGATTCAAACAGTGACGCATTTGGACCAAACTTGGCCTGAATACTCAATATGCCCAAATGTGAACACTGGTGGAGTTTGGGGAAAATAGACCTTGACATTTGGGAGTTGTAGTTGATGGGATTTATAGCTCACCTGCAATCAAAGAGCATTCTGAACTCTAACAATGATGAAATTGAACCAATTCTGGCACACAGAACTCCCATGGCCAACAGAAAATACTGGAAGGGTTTGGTGGGCATTGACCTTGAGTTTTGGAGCTGTAGTTCACCTACATCCAGAGAGCACTGTGGACTCAAACGGTGATGGATCTGAACCAAACTTGGCACTGATACTCAATATGCACAAATATGAACACTGGTGGAGTTCTTTTAATTACATATAGCCTTCAACGAACAACATCACAGCACAAGGAGAGAAATACACACTGTACACGACTTCCTTATATACAGTTCTGTACCTTTACACATAGCAATCTCTGATTGGTTCCCAACTCATTAACTTAACTCAAACCCAGGATTGCATCATTTACAATCACCTGGACTAGGCCAGAACACATTCCCCAAATGATTCCCTATATACAGTTAATGCATGACTCAGCATTTCCAATAGAAGCCCATTAGCAGTATTACATTACAATACATTGTAAAACCTGACAATAGACCTTGACATTTGAGAGTTGTAGTTGATGGGATTTATAGTTTGCCTACAATCAAAGAGCATTCTGAACCCCACCACTGATAGAATTGGGCCAAACTTTCCACACAGAACCCCCATGTCTTGAATTGACTAGCTGGTGCGGGCCTCCCTCTAGCTTCACACGCTCTCCCTCGCTCGCACATGCGTACCACCCTGCTATGTGCTGAACATACCTGCTCTCCCCTCTCAACTTGGAGTGTCAGAAACAGCCCTTCCCTTGGCTGAGAGGTTGGCCAATCACAGCAGAGGAGGGCTTTTGGTGGGAGGATTCACCTGATTCTGAAAAGGAAGAGAAGGACAGGCGGAGGGATCTCCCGCCTTCTCTGTCAATGAGGTTCCTAAGACCATCATAAATATATGTTGTCTGTTCATCTTTGGCAACTCCTCTGAAACCCCCTCATGACCCCCAAGGTGAGAAACAGTGACCTAGAATGTAGTGGACAGGATTAGAAAAGATAAGCCTGCGAAAGAGAGGAAGACAAGAGAAGAGAAGAATGGTGCAGAAAGCCAAAGAATGGAGGATGTTACGGCCATGGAAAAGAGGATTGAAGGTTTCTTATACCCATTGGATCCATCTGTTGAGAGGTCATTCTCTAGGATGGGCTACCTTCAGCCTCTTTTATGGCACAGAGTCCAGAATGACCTATAAGAAATGATATTCCCCATTTAATTAGCTGTCTTTTGGTCACTACCTGTCACATTGCCAGGACTCTACCTTATTTAGGTAGAGATGAATCAAACTCCCAGTTTTATCAAACAGTTTAATTTAAACAGTACTTACTTGGTGGCTGTTTTAATAGACCAAAACACAAAACAAGATATCACTAAGCCACAGAATATAAAACAAAAACGGATAGGAAAAGCTACACCGTAGTCAAAGGGTCCAGTCCAGTGGTCAAATGCTGAGAGTTCAATAAACAAAGTCCAGGGATCAAGAATCTATACCGTAGTCTGATTAGCGAAGGCTGATCTGGCCGGGGTGGTCCATGCCTTGGTCACCTCCAGATTGGACTACTGTAATACGCTCTATGTGGGGCTGCCCTTGAAAATGGCTCGGAAGTTCCAACTGGTCCAACGAGCAGCGGCCAGGATGTTAACTGGGGCCCCTTACAGAGAGAGGCCAACCCTCCTGTTCAAGGAGCTCCACTGGCTGCCGTTTATTTTCCGAGCCCAATTCAAGGTGCAGGTGCTTACCTACAAAGCCGTAAACGGTTTGGGACCATCTTACCTGCGTGACCGCATCTCCGTCTACAAACCCACGCGTTCACTTCGGTCATCTGGAGAGGCCCTGTTCGGGATCCCGCCTGTGTCGCAAGCGCGTTTGGTGAGGACACGAGACAGGGCCTTTTCTGTGGTGGTCCCCCGACTCTGGAACACCCTCCCCAAAGATCTTAGACAGGCCCCTACACTGGCAGTCTTCATAAAGAACTTAAAGACCTGGCTGTTCCGATGTGCCTTCCCAGAATAGGAAACCTCCAATACCAAGTCCCAGAAGCACTTTATTAGAACTAAGATTGCCGCACACTGCACACTGCACTTGCCCTAGAAGCCTTATATACCACCTGCCACATCAGCACTTTTAATCCTGTACCCATTACTCTGGCCTGGCTCAGTTTTATTGTGTCTTAATGTATTGTTTATTGCTTGTTGGTTATATTGCTTTAATTGTTTTTAATTTGCTTTAGGTGTATTGTTATGTTGTGTGTTGAGGCCTTGGCCTTTGTAAGCCGCATTGAGTCCTTCGGGAGATGCTAGCGGGGTACAAATAAAGTTTAATAATAATAATAATAATAATAATAATAATAATAATAAATAGTCAAAAGCCAGTCCAAAGGTTCAAGGTTCTAGGAATTCCAAGATTACAGGAGACAGGTCAGGATACCAAAAAATCCAACAGACCTGGGGAGAAAACCAGCAGCATCCACCACCAAAATACAACAGATACTTTTCTCCCAAAGATCCATCTCAAGGTTAGCTCCTTAAATCCAGTTGCAACCCATCTCCTTCACACCTCCACCCCTAATTGCTTTCACCCATGAACTCCCACTTACAGATTACCAAACCCTCTAGAACTAATACTCACATTAACCCTTCCATCACCAACCACCATCAACTTCAGAACATATGACACTACCTCACTCTGATCTTGAAGATGTAATGGTGCTGGTATAAGGGGAGGAGGACACAGTTGAAGCAGACAACAGAAAAAGAAGCCTGGCTGGTAGGTTTTGTAGGATAGGAGCCAAGGGGGTTGGCAGCGGGTGAAAAGAACAGGTTTTGTTCCTTGGCCTCAGTTAAGGTTTTGGCAATAGAAATTCTGGCCTTCCCCAGCATAGTTCTTGTTTTTACTAGAATTATTTACACTGCCCTTTTAATGGGCAGGGTGTTGCTATTGCCATCTCGACCTTCATCGTGTGGCTAAATAGTCCTCGCTGAAAACCAAACTGAATGCTGCAACAAGGAGAATGTATTGAATAATGCAAATGAATCATAGAATCCTTGAGTTGGAAGAGGCCTCGTGAGCCAACCCCCCGCCAAGAAGCAGGAAAATGCATCAATAGGAGCATAGTGTCTAGATCTAAGGAAGTCATGCTCCCCATGCTCTATTCCGCTTTGGTTAGACCACATCTGGAATATTGTGTCCAATTCTGGGCACCACAATTCAAGAGAGATATTGACAAGCTGGAATGTGTCCAGAGGAGGGCGACTAAAATGATCAAGGGTCTGGAGAACAAGCCCTATGAGGAGCGGCTTAGGGAACTGGGCATGTTTAGCCTGAAGAAGAGAAGGCTGAGAGGAGATATGATAGCCATGTATAAATATGTGAGAGGAAGCCACAGGGAGGAGGGAGCAAGCTTGTTTTCTGCTTCCTTGGAGACTAGGACACGGAACAATGGCATCAAACTACAAGAGAGGAGATTCCATCTGAACATTAGGAAGAACTTCCTGACTGTGAGAGCCGTTCAGCAGTGGAACTCTCTGCCCCGGAGTGTGGTGGAGGCTCCTTCTTTGGAAGCTTTTAAGCAGAGGCTGGATGGCCATTTGTCAGGGGTGATTTAAATGCAATATTCCTGCTTCTTGGCAGGGGGTTGGACTGGATGGCCCATGAGGTCTCTTCCAACTCTTTGATTCTATGATTCTATGATTCTATGAAATCACATTCAAAGCACCCCCGATAGATGGCCATTGTCATATTGCCAGGGCTCTGCCAATATTTAGGCAGAGATGAACCGAACTCCTAGTTTGTGTTAAACAATTTAATTAATACAGCACTTACTTTCTGGCTGTTTTAATAGTCCAAAACATAAAGATTGCACTCAGCCACAGAATATAAAACAAAAACAGCAAACACTGTTGCAGGTTCAAGGTAATTCCGTAGTGAAAAGGTCCAGTCCAGTGGTCAAATGCCAAGAGTTCAATAAACAAAGTCCAGGGATCGAGAGTCTATTCCATAGTCAAAAGCCAGTCCAAAGATTCAAGGTTCCAGGACTCCAAAGGTTCAGGAGACAGATCAGGATGCCAAAACTCCACAAACCTGGGGGAAAACCAGCAGCATCTACCACCAAAATAAAGACAAATACTTTTCTCCCGAAGATCAGTTCCAAGGCTCGCTCCTTATATCCAGAATCACCTATCTCTTGTATACCTCCACCCTTAATTGCTTTCACCCATGAACTCTTACTTACAGATTACTCAACACTTTAGAACTAAGACTTACATTAACCCTTCCATCACCAACCATCATCAACTGCAGAACATAATACATGACAGCCATTCAGCCTCTGTGTCCTCCTTCCCTTATACCAGCATCGTTGCATCTTCAAGACCAGAATGAGGTAGTGAATCCCACTGGTATATATTCCCCGCCTCGGTCATGAAACATTTTCCCCATTTCTGTCTTTAGTTTAGGGATGGGAATGGTGTGACCTTCTGGATGCTGAACAACAACTCCCAGCATTCCTTGCCCTGAGTTGTGGGTCCTCCAGGCATTGAGAATTGTAGTCAAGCAGCTGCTGGGCAAGTGGGCTTATTAACAAAAGACCCTCCTCATAAATGCACAGCAGAGTAACTTATCAACAACAGCGTGACCCAGCACCGGTAGTGACGAAAAGGAACAAAAACACATAGACCAATGTTATCTCTTCTATAGGAGGTTCTTCCTTATAGCAGAATAATATGGTTGCACTATTTACAAGAATAGGGTTTCCATAACACAAAGAAAGTTCAACCTTGACATTGGAACTTCACACACAAGGCCTCTCATACCGAGGCTTCCCTCACACACAGGCTTCTCTCACAGACTGAGGCCTAACTCACACTGAGGCCTTCTCACAGACAGAGACCTTTCTCCCACTGAGGCAAAAAGCGGGTGCTGGAAAGAATTTATTTATTTCAGTTTTATATACCGACCTTCTCACCTCTTTTTGAAGGACTCAGACCGGTTTCCAACCATAAAAACACATACAATCGGTAAAAACATCATAGTTCATATTACAATAACACATTAAAACAATAAATATATCCAAAACTACAGTGGTCAGTCGTCATACTAAAAAACAATTATACATCATCTTCCATCCATGTCTTAGGGTGTTGTCTCACTCATCAAAAGACTGTCTCCATAACCACTTCTTCACCTGTTTCCTGAATGTCAGGATAGACGGGGCGGTTCTGATCTCCAGTGGGAGAGAGTTCCAAAGTCGAGGGGCCACCACCGAGAAGGCCCTGTCCCTCGTCCCCACCAGACGCGCTTGCGAGGCCGGTGGGACCGAGAGCAGGGCCTCTCCAGATGATCTTAATAATCTTGATGGTTCATAGGGGAGAATACGTTCAGAGAGGTAAACAGGGCCGGAGTCGTTTAGGGATTTTATAGGTTAAGAGCATCACTTTGAATTGTGCTCAGAAGCTGACTGGCAGCCACTGGAGCTGGTGTAACAGGGAAGTTGTGCGGTCCTTGTATCGTGCTCCCATGAGCAACCTGGCTGCCGAGCATTGGACTAGTTGGAGCTTCTGGGCAGTCTTCAGAGGCAACCCCACGTAGAGAGCGTTGCAGTAATCTAAACGGGATGTAACCAAAGCGTGGACCACCGTGGCCAAGTCAGACTTCCCAAGGTACGGGCGCAGTTTTAGTTGTGCAAAAGCTCCCCTGACCACCGCCGAGAACTGGGGCTCCAGGCTCAGCGATGAGTGTAGGAGAACTCCCAAACTGTGAACCTGCACCTTCAGGGGGAGTGGGACCCCGTCCAGCACAGGCTGTAACCCTATGCCCTGTTCGGCCTTGCGACTGACCAGGAGGACCTCTGTCTTGTCTGGATTCAATTTCAATGTGTTCGCCCTCATCCAGTCCGTCACAGCGGCCAAGCACCGGTTCAGGACCTGAATAGCCTCCTTAGTAACAGGTGGAAAGGAGCGATAGAGTTGGACATCATCCGCATACAGATGACATCGCACCCCAAAACTCCGGATGATCTCTCCCAACGGCTTCATGTAGATGTTAAACAACATAGGGGACAGTACGGAACCCTGCGGGACTCCACAGTACAATGGCCGAGGAGTCGAGCAGGAGTCCCCTAGTGACACCTTCTGGGAGCGGCCCTTGAGGAAGGACCGGAGCCACTGCAAGGCAGTACTCCCAAAACCCATTCCCGCGAGGCGTCCCAGAAGGATACCGTGGTCGAATATTATACAAAAGCTTAACTGGCACAACCTGGGGACCACAACCAGACACAGTGAAGACATCTGCACTTGTGCGTTGCTACTCTGCTTCTGAGTACGCATCCCAGTGTGGAATGCATCTCACCACCTGACATCTGCCAGGAAGTAGAAGCCAGGAATGAAAGGAAGAAAGATATCATCTTCTTGGAGACAGGCCACCCTTTCCCCTACCACATCCCCCAAACTATTCTTATTCTTGAGGTCTTCCTCGAAGGGTAACCGCCACTCCCTCTCTTATTTTGTCACAGGTATCGGCTGACTCGAGCTCTTCCATGAATTCCGGTGTAATGCTCATGCGCCCCTCGCGGCTTTCTTCCAGCGGGACTCCAATGCTGGCGGGCGTTTCCGAGTACGACCTGCCAGAAGACCCTCGCTGGGAGCTACCCAGAGACAGGTAACAGGGGCCCCTTTGCTGTGGATGATGGGTTTTCTGGGTGTTTCCAGAAATGTAAACCACCTCGAGTCCCATCCCCCCGGGCTGAGAAAGGCGGTATATAAATATCATTTCTTTCCTTATTTATTTACAGTATTTATATTCCGCCTTTCTCGCCCTGCAAGGGACTCCGGGTGAATCACAATGCACGTACACAAGGCAAACATTCAATGCCATTTAGACATACAACATATATAGACAGACACGGAGGCAATTTAACATTCCAGCTTTTCCGGCTTCATGAGGCTATGCTCGATTCCAGCCACAGGGGGAGCTGCTGCTTCACTGTCCATTTGTGACATCAAGTCTTTGATGGAGTTCTTCCTCATTCTTCTGCTCGCTGCTGGAAGGTTTTATGGCATCGTAAATTAGTTAAATTAGCCTCTCTGCATAAATCGGTACCTAAGTTTCCTACTTGACAGATGCAACTGTCTTTTGGGCTGCATAGGCCGACAGCAAGTTAGACTATTAATGGTCCACTTGTGACACTGAGTCCTTGGAAGTTCTTCCTCATTCTTCTGCATGCTGCTGGAAGGTTTTATGGCGCATAGGTCGACAGCAAGTTAGACTATTAATGGTCCACTTGTGACACTGAGTCCTTGGAAGTTCTTCCTCATTCTTCTGCATGCTGCTGGAAGGTTTTATGGCGCATAGGTCGACAGCAAGTTCGACTATTAATGGTCCACTTGTGACACTGAGTCCTTGGGAGTTCTTCCTCATTCTTCGGCACGCTGCTGGAAAGTTTTATGGCATTGTAAATTAGTTAAATTAGCCTCTTCACATAAAGCGGCACCTAAATTTCCTACTTGACAGATACATCTGTCTTTTGGGCTGCATAGGTCGACAGCAAGTTAGACTATTAATGGTCCACTTGTGACACTGAATCCTTGGGAGTTCTTCCTCATTCTTCGGCACGCTGCTGGAAAGTTTTATGGCATTGTAAATTAGTTAAATTAGCCTCTTCACATAAAGCGGCACCTAAATTTCCTACTTGACAGATACATCTGTCTTTTGGGCTGCATAGGTCGACAGCAAGTTCGACTATTAATGGTCCACTTGTGACACTGAGTCCTTGGGAGTTCTTCCTCATTCTTCGGCACGCTGCTGGAAAGTTTTATGGCATTGTAAATTAGTTAAATTAGCCTCTTCACATAAAGCGGCACCTAAATTTCCTACTTGACAGATACATCTGTCTTTTGGGCTGCATAGGTCGACAGCAAGTTAGACTATTAATGGTCCACTTGTGACACTGAATCCTTGGGAGTTCTTCCTCATTCTTCGGCACGCTGCTGGAAAGTTTTATGGCGTTGTAAATTAGTTAAATTAGCCTCTTCACATAAAACAGCACCTAAATTTCCTACTTGACAGATGCAACTGTCTTTTGGGCTACATAGGTCGACAGCAAGCTAGACTATTAATGGTCGGGAGCTTACTCCGATCCAGGCTGGCTTCCAAGTCATGACCTCTCGGTCAGTAGTGATTTAATGCACCTGCCTAATAACTAACTGCGCCACAGCCCGGTATTGTTGTTTATTTGTTCAGTCGTTTCTGACTCCTTGTGACCTCATACAATAAAGTAAATAAATAAATATAGTAAAATAAATAAATAATAAAGCCAGGACTATTTGCAGACTCTCCCTGGGCGGACTATTGAGGGACTTCTTATTGTATTTGCATCCAATTTAACTGGGGAAAAATGGGGGAAGTGTTCTGGTTTCATTTGAGTACAACGTTACAATGAAATTGGGATCTTTGTAGAATCATACAATCATACAATCACAGAATCCAAGAGTTGGAAGAGACCTCCTGGGCCATCCAGTCCAACCCCATTCTGCCAAGAAGCAGGAATATTGCATTCAAATCACCCCTGACAGATGGCCACCCCTCATAGAATCAAAGAGTTGGAAGAGACCTCCTGGGCCATCCAGTCCAACCCCATTCTGCCAAGAAACAGGAATATTGCATTCAAATCACCCCTGACAGATGGCCATCCAGCCTCATAGAATCAAAGAGTTGGAAGAGACCTCCTGGGCCATCCAGTCCAACCCCATTCTGCCAAGAAGCAGGAATATTGCATTCAAATCACCCCTGACAGATGGCCATCCAGCCTCATAGAATCAAAGAGTTGGAAGAGACCTCCTGGGCCATCCAGTCCAACCCCATTCTGCCAAGAAGCAGGAATATTGCATTCAAATCACCCCTGACAGATGGCCATCCAGCCTCATAGAATCAAAGAGTTGGAAGAGACCTCCTGGGCCATCCAGTCCAACCCCATTCTGCCAAGAAGCAGGAATATTGCATTCAAATCACCCCTGACAGATGGCCATCCAGCCTCATAGAATCAAAGAGTTGGAAGAGACCTCCTGGGCCATCCAGTCCAACCCCATTCTGCCAAGAAGCAGGAATATTGCATTCAAATCACCCCTGACAGATGGCCATCCACTCTCTGTTCAAAAGTTGGAAGAGACGTCATGGGCCATCATCCAGTCCAACCCCATTCTGCCAAGAAGCAGGAATATTGCATTCAAAGCACCCCTGACAGATGGCCATCCAGCCTCTGTTTAAAAGCTTGTAGATGTGGATTCTCCCTTTGCTCCTAGCATTTCCTTTGTTTTCCTCCATCCTAGGCTGATTTTGGGTAAACCATTGGGAGAAGGCTGCTTCGGGCAGGTGGTTCTCGCAGAGGCAATCGGCCTGGACAAAGACAAACCCAACCGAGTCACTAAAGTGGCCGTAAAGATGCTCAAATGTAAGTGATTGCCTTCTTCCTGCATTGCTTTCCAAGGGCAGTAGCTGTCTTATTGCTGTAGGACAGTGGTTCTCAATCTTCCCAGTGCTGCAACCCCTTAATACACTTCCTCATGTTGTGGTGACCCTCAAACATCACATTATTTTCGTTGCTGCATCATAACTGTGATATTGCGACTGTTATGAATCGTCATGTAAATATCTGAGATGCAGGATGTATTTTCATTCACTGCACCAAATTTGGCACCAACACCCGATATGGCAAAATTTGAATGCTGATGGGGTTAGGGAGGGATTCATTTTGTCATTTGGGAGTTGTAGGGATTTGTAGTTCATCTACAATCAAGTATTTTGAACTCCACTAACAATGGAATCGAACTGAACATGACAAACAGAACTCCCAAGACCAACAAAATATACTGGAAGCGTTTGGTGGGCATTAGCCTTGAGTTTGGGAGTTGTAGTTCACCTACATCCAGAGAGCACAGTGGACTCAAACAATGATAGATCTGGACCAAATTTGGCACAAATACTCAATATGCCCAGATGTGGTGGAGTTTAAGGAAAATAGACCTTGACATTTGGGAGTTTTAATTACTGGGATGTATAGTTCTTGCAATCATGCAGATATGAGTAGATCAATAGGTACTGCTCCAGCGGGAAGGTAATGGTGTTCCATGCAGTCATACCGGCCACATAACATTGGAGGTGTCTACGGACAATGCCGGCTCTTTGGCTTAGAAATGATGAGCACCAGAGTCCCCGAGCTTGGACACAGCTAGCTTTTGATGGGCATTGACCTTGAGTTTTGGAGTTGTAGTTCACCTACATCCAGAGAGTGCAGTGGACTCAAACAATGATAGATCTGGACCAAACCTGGCCCAAATGTGACCTTGACATTTGGAAGTTCTAGTTTATTTATTTATTTATTTATTTACTCTGCTTATATACCGCTGTTCTCAGCCCAAAGGCGACTCACAGCGGTTTACAACAAATAACAACAAAAATTCAACACTACAATGTAAAAACAGTTAATAACCTAACACATTACACAATTAATAAACAATTACTACAATAACTATTCACTATCGTCTCATCATCAGAAAACATGATCCAGATTCGTCATCCATTGTTCCATTCCTATGTTCATTAACCAATCATTGCACAATTATTAGTTGCTGGGATTTATAGTTCGCCTACAATCAAAGAACATTCTGACCCTCACCAATGATAGAATTGGGCCAAGCTTCCCACACAGAACCACCTTGCCTTGAAGGGGCTTGCTGGTGCGAGCCTCCCTCCAGCCTCACATGCTCTCCGTTGCCAGCACATGTGCACCATGCTCCTATGCGCTGAACACGCCTGCTCTCCCCTCCCCACTTGGAGTCTCAGAAACAGCCCTCCCCTTGGCTGAGAGGCCGGCCAATCACAGCGGAGGAGGGCTTTTGGTGGGAGGATTCAACGTCTATTTCCAAATAGGAAAAGGAGAGTCGGAGAGATTGTCAACCTTCTCTGCCAAAGGGCTTCCAAAGACCATCAGAAATATGTATTTTTGATGGTCTTTGGTGACCCCTCTGACACCCCCTAACGTCCCGTCCCCCCCCCCCAGGGATCTCGATCCCCAGGTAGAGAAACACTGCTTTGGGAAGTATTAAGTCCATAATGATAAAGTTTAGGGGTGTTTTTTCCCATATGAGTGGTTATTTCATGCTTGGGATGCTCTTCACTTGATGCTTACGTACATTTCAATTGATAATGACTGATTGTCTGCCTCAAAACGGACTTCCTGGGACATCAAAGCATGAGGGCGAACGTTCTGGCTCACCGGGAAATGCATCTTTTCTCTTCTTCTCCAGCAGATGCCACGGAAAAAGATCTCTCTGATTTGATTTCTGAGATGGAGATGATGAAAATGATTGGCAAGCACAAGAACATCATCAACCTCCTCGGGGCTTGCACGCAGGATGGTAAGTCGGGGGCTCGGCACGTCTTCCTAGGATGAAAAATGATGTATTTTTGTGTACAGTTGGTCCAAAACTCTCACTGATTTCAGAAGCTTTTCCTCTTATTCATTTGAAGTATTTTTTACTTTGTTCTTCGAGCCAAACTGGAAAGCAACGTACAAAGGTTAGTGACAGTGTCACTAGTGTCAGTGTCTCTCAACCTTCCGAATGCCGCAGGCCCTTAAGACAGTTCCTCATGTTGTGGTGTCCTCGAATCATAATACAGGGTTAGTCAAAATGAATAGGCCAATAAGAAAATTAATTTTAGACGAATGTATGTTTACTGTAACCAAACCACAGCTACGTAGCGACAGATAAACTATCAAAGTTTTTTTGAGCAACACACATGTACGTTAATGCCGCTAGGCGTCGCTAGGGGTCGCTGTTTTCAAAATGGCGGAATCAAGCAAAGAGAAGGCGTTTTGTGTGATGACATTTGCTAAAACAATGTCAGTAATTACGGTCCAGCGAGAATTTCAAGGGTTAGGGTTAGGGTTAGGGATATAGGGTTAGGGTTAGGGTTAGGGATAGGGTTAGGGTTAGGGATAGGGTTAGGGTTAGGGGGTTAGGGTTAGGGTGGGTTAGGGTTAGGAATAGGGTTAGGGTTAGGGTTAGGGTTAGGGATGGGGTGGGAGTTAGGGTTAGGGAGGGTTAGGGGATAGGGTTTCAGGTTAGGGTTAGGGATAGGGTTAGGGTTAGGGTTAGGGATAGGGATAGGGATAGGGATAGGGTTAGGGTTAGGGTTAGGGATAGGGATAGGGATAGGGATAGGGTTAGGGATAGGGTTAGGGTTAGGGTTAGGGTTAGGGATAGGGTTAGGGTTAGGGTTAGGGTTAGGGTTAAGGTTAGGGTTAGGGTTAGGGTTAGGGTTAGGGTTAGGGTTAGGACCTCAACGAACACCTTCCCAGACGTTGCTGCATTCGATGCCATTACGTCGGATGTGCTGCAACGGATGTGGAATGAACTGGACTATCGCTTGGACATCTGCCGTGTCACACGGGGCGCCCATATCGAACATCTCTGAAGGTGAGACAAAACTTTGATAGTTTATCTGTCGCTACGTAGCTGTGGTTTGGTTACAGTAAACATACATTTGTCTAAAATTAATTTTCTTATTGGCCTATTCATTTTGACTAACCCTGTATTACTTTCATTGCTACTTCAGAACTGTAATTTTGCTACTGTTGTGAATGTATATATGGATGTATTTTCATTCACTGGACCAAATTTGGTACAAATACCCAATATGCCCAAATTGAATACTGGTGGGGTTGGAAGGAGGATTGATTTTGTCATTTGGGAGTTGTAGTTGCTGGGATTCATAGTTCACCTACAATCAAAGAGCATTCTGAACTCCAGCAACAAAGGAATTCAATCAATCTTGGCATACAGAACTCCCATGACGAACAGGAAATACTGGAAGGGTTTGGTGAGCATTGACCTAGAGTTTGGGAGTTGTAGTTCACCTACATCTGGACAGCACTGTGGACTCAAACAGTGATGGATCTGGACCAAACTTGGCACGAATCCTCAATAAGCCCAGGTATGAACACTGATGGAGTTTGGAGAAAATACACCATGACATTTCGGAGTTGTAGTTGCTGGGATTTATAGTTCACCTACAATCAAAGATCATTCCGAACCCCAGCAATGATATTTATTATTTATTTATTTATTTATTATTTATTTATTTATTTATTTATTTATTTTATATACCGGCCTTCTCACCTCGAACGAGGGACTCAGGTCGGTTTACAACATGTATGCAAATACAATCATATACAAAAAACAACAGAGTGCAACATCAATACAGATTAAAATAGTACAGTAAAAACATCATCATCACATTACCCAAGCCATGGAATTGAACCAACGTTGGCACACAGAAGTCCCACAACCACCAGAAAATACTGGAAAGGTTTGGTGGGCATTGACCTTTAGTTTTGGAGTTGTAGTTCACCTACATCCAGAAGAGTTTGGGCTCAAACAATGATGGATCTGGACCAACTTGGCACGAATCCTCAATAAGCCCAGGTATGAACACTGATGGAGTTTGGAGAAAATACACCATGACATTTGGGAGTTATAGTTGCTGGGATTTATAGTTCACCTACGATCAAAGATCATCCTGAACCCCACCAATGATGGAATTGAACCAAAGTTGGCACACAGAAGTCCCACAATCACCAGAAAATACTGGAATGGTTTGGTGGGCATTGACCTTGAGTTTTGGAGTTGTAGTTCACCTACATCCAGAGAGCACTGTGGACTCAAACAATGATGGATCTGGACCAAATGATGGATCTGGCACGAATCCTCAATATGCCCAAATGTGAACACTTGTAGAGTTTGGAGAAAATACACTGTGAAATTTGGGAGTTGTAGTTGCCGGGATTTATAGTTCACCTACAATCAAAGAGCATTCTGAACTTCACCAACGATGGAATTGAACCAAACTTGGCACACAGAATTCCCATGACCAACAGAAAATACTGGAAGGGTTTGGTGGGCACTGACCTTGAGTTTTGGGAGTTGTAGTTCACCTACATCCAGAGAGCACTGTGGACTCAAACAATGATGGATCTGGACCAAACTTGGCACAAATTCTCAATATGCCCAAATGTGAACACTGGTGGAGTTGGGGGAAATAGACCTTGACATTTGGGTGTTGTAGTTGCTGGTATGTATAGTTCATTTACATTCGAAGAGCATTCTGAACCTCATCAATGATAGAATTGGGCCAAATTTCCCATACAGAACCCCCATGACCAACAGAAAATACTGTGTTCTCCAGTGGTCTTTGGCGACCCCTCTGACACTTCCCTTTTGACCACCACCCCGCCCAGCGGTCCTGACCCCCAGGTTAAGAAACACTGAACTAGGTGAAAACCAAGGGAGTCATTCTATCTCTGAATCTCCATAGATCCAATCCTTTTGCCCAACATTGGTTGCCACTGGAAATGACCACCACTTAGGTGCTAAAAGGACCATAGACACATAAATCATAAGAGATAGAAATGACCCCAAGGACCATCCAGTCCAACCCTGCAGGAATACCCATTTCAATGAGATTCCAATGTCAATGGGACTCTTCTTCCTGCTTGGACTAACACGGTCTTTCCTTCTTTGGTCCAGGTCCCCTCTATGTGATAGTGGAGTATGCCTCCAAAGGGAACCTGCGGGAATACCTGCAGGCCCGGCGCCCCCCAGGCATGGAATATTGCTACAACCCCACCCACCTCCCTGATGAGCAGCTCTCCTTCAAAGACCTGGTCTCCTGTGCCTATCAAGTGGCCCGCGGCATGGAATACCTGGCCTCCAAAAAGGTAAGAAGTGAAGCCAGAAGAAGTGGCCTGAGTGGTTCAAGCTCTTGATAGTGACACTGAGGAATAAGACGTATGATCTCCCCAGAGAGAGGGATGGAGGATGGGTGGATGGATAGACAGACAGACAGACAGACAGGGAATATGGGAAACAGGACAGGACAGGACAGGATAGGATGGTAGGTTGATAGATGGTGGCTGGATAGATAGATAGATAGATAGATAGATAGATAGATAGATAGATAGATAGATAGATTAGACAGGTTGGTCGGTTGGTTAGTTGGTTGGATAGATAGATAGATGGATGGATGGGTAGGGTAGGGTAGGGTAGGGTAGGGTAGGGAGATAGGAGGATACATAGGAAGATAGGGAGATAGGTTGATTGATGATGGCCGGATAGATAGATTAGACAGGTTGGTTGATTACTTGGTTGGATAGATGGATGGATGGATGGCTGGATGGACGGACAGGTGGGTAGGGTAGGGTAGGGTAGGGAGATAGGAGGATAGGTAGGCAGATAGGGAGGGAAGTTGATAGATGATGGCTGTATAGAGAGAGAGAGAGAGAGAGAAAGAGAGAGAGATTAGACAGGTTGATTGGTTGGATAGATGGATAGATAGATAGATAGATAGATAGATAGATAGATAGATAGATAGATAGATAGATAGATAGATAGGCGGGCGGGAGGGTAGGGTAGGGTAGGTTAGGGTAGGGTAGGGAGATAGGAGGATAGATAGGCAGATAGGGAGGTAGATTGATAGATGATGGCTGGATAGATAGATTAGACAGGTTGGTTGGTTGGATAGGTAGGTAGGAGGATAGGCAGGGAGATAGGGAGGTAGATTGATAGATGATAGCCAGATAGATAGATAGATAGATAGATAGATAGATAGATAGATAAGATGGGCTGGTTAGTTAGGTAAAGAGGGAGGGAGGAGAAGATATTGATTGGGTAGGTAGGTAGTTAGGTGGATGGATAGGTAGGTAGGATGGATAGACAAGTCTACACCATGGAATTATTGCAGTTTGATACCACTTTAACTGCAGTGGCTCAATGCTATGGATTCCTGCGATAGTGAAAATGATGCAAAATGAGATGCAAAATGAGTCAAAACACAGGCAGGTCACTGACTACTTTGCTGTACAGACTTGCTCAGCATATATAATATGCAAAGACGATAAAGCTTCAACGCTCTTGATACATAAACATTGCTTTTTAGTCTGGGCCCTGCCACTTATCTATTAATCCTGCTTCTATACGGCTTGCTCAAGGGGATTCTTAGTTTGGTATTGATGGAGAGCACTCTTTGGTATTTCGGACCCTGCTCTTCTTCAGAAACGTACCACGGCCGGTCTCTAATGGTCAGCGTCCCCTTTCTGTGTCTCCTCTTCAGTGCATCCACCGGGATTTGGCTGCCAGGAATGTGCTGGTGACAGAAGACAGTGTGATGAAGATTGCCGATTTTGGCTTGGCGCGAGATATCCATCACATAGATTACTACAAGAAGACGACCAATGTGAGTGGTGTGCCTGGGAGGGAGATGTAAGACTGTAGGATCTATATAGCAATATTAAATTACCACTCACAAGCTGGTTTTGCTTTGAAATTGATATATTGCATGTATCTCCGCAGCAAAGAAAGACACTACTGACTTTTCCCCACCACCACTTCCTTTTATACACCTTTCCTGCCCATCTCCTCCTCTTCTCAGTTTCCTTATTGGAACTTGTTGCTTCACAAGTTCCAATACAAGGTTTCCAGCTCCCTCTGCTTGCTTCAAAATGTCACAGAGAGAGAATTGGGGCAGCCAGGATGATTCAGTCAGGATGCCACGGAGAGAATTTGTGATGTCTTCATGCCGTCAGAAATTGTCTCCTGACAGGAATATTGAAGGAGGTTGAACGTTGAACATCACATGCTGGGAAATTGGACATCTTGTTAGGGTTGCATCTACACCTTAGAATTAATGCAGTTTGGCACCATTTGATTTTATGTATCGTGTCGGAAGCAAATTAAGAATACAGTTATAATGTATAGAAAAAAACACAAACAAAGTTAAAAACTGAGCATTGTACTCAATTTCCTTTGACCACGGATACGGAGGGCTGCCTGGCGAGTCCCTGCACACGTGGGAATATCCGAGAGGGAGAAGGGGAATAAGAATATACATAGTATAGCGTCCAAGAAGAAAGTGTTGGTTTATTTTTATTTATCATGTCAGGAGCAAACCAAACAACTGTTTTGTATTTAAAAAAACAACAAAGTTTGCAAACTTGGCATTTTGTTAAGTGTCCTTTGACCAGAAGCTGGTCACTTGGAGTGCCTCTGGTGTCACTGTGAGAAGATCCTCCATTGTGCATTGTGTTAGGATTGCATCTACACTATAGAATTGATGCACTTTGGCATCATTTTATTTTATTTATTGTGCCAGAAGTGAATTGAGAATACCATTACATTGTATTCAAAAACCACAAAGTTAAAAACTTGGCATGATGCTAAATGTCCTTTGACCAGAAGCTGGCCACTTGGAGTGCCTCTGGTGTCGCTGTGAGAAGGTCCTCCCTTGTGCATGTGGCAGGGCTCTGGACGCATTGTAGATAGTCTATGGTTTGTTCTTCTCCGCACTCACATGTCACAGATTCCACTTTGTGGCCCCATTTCTTAAGGTCGGCTTTTGCATCTCGTGGGGCCAGAGCACAGTCTGCTCAGCGCCTTCCAAGTCGCCCCATCTTCTGTGTGCTCAGGAGGGAATTTCTCATTCAATATCAGCCCCTGATTGAGGTTATGGGTTTTCGCCTGCCACTTTTGGACTCTTGCTTGCTGAGGTGTTCCTCCAAGTATATCTCTAGATCTTAGGAAGCTGTTTCTTGATTTAAGGTGTTTGCTTGCTGACTGATATCCAAACAGAGGATGGGCCAGAGATGTTACTGCCTTGGTCCTTTCATTGCTGGCTGCTATTTTAGGTGGTGCAATACCGGCTAAACAGTATAATTTCTCCAGTGGTGTGGGGTTTAGATATCCTGTGATAATGTGGCATGTCTCATTAAGAGCCACTGTTTTAGTGTGGTGAGATGTGTTCCACACTGGGCATGCGTATTCAGCAGCAGAGTAGCCAAGCACAAGGGCAGATGTCTCCACTGTGTCTGGTTGTGATCCCCAGGTTGTGCCAGTCAGCTTTTGTATGATGTTATTTCTAGCACCCACTTTTTGCTCGATAGTCAAGCAATGCTTCTTATAAGTAGCACGGTTCAGAGTGACTCCCAGGTATTTGGGTGCGCTGCAATGCTCCAGTGGGATTCCTTCCCAGGTCATCCTCAGAGCTCGGGATGCTTGTCTGTTCTTAAGATGGAAAGCACATGTCTGTGTTTTAGATGGATTAGGGATCAGCTGGTTTTCCCTGTATGAGGCAGTCAGAGCACCTAAAGTGTCAGAGAGCTTCTGTTCAACCATTTCAAATCTGTCTTCTTGAGTGGTGATGGCATGATCGTCAGCATAGATTAAACTCTCCGTCCCTTCTGGCAGTGGTTGCCTTGACATCCTGTGATGATACAGCATGTCTCATTAAGAGCCACATCCACTGTTTTAGCGTGGTGAGTTGTATTCCACACTGGGCATGCGTACTCAGCAGCAGAGTAGCAAAGCGCAAGGCCAGATGTCTTCACTGTGTCTGGTTGTGATCCCCAGGTTGTGCCAGTCAGCTTTCGTATGATATTATTTCAAGCACCCACTTTTTGTTTGATGTTCAAGCAGTGCTTCTTGTAGGTCAGAGCCTGGTCCAGGGTAACCCCCAGGTATTTGGGTGTGCTGCAATGCTCCAGTGGGATTTCTCCCCATATTTAGGTTAGGTTTGCCTTAAGGGGGTGTGTTCTAGTCTAGGAGGGAAAGTTAGAAGGCTAGGATTGGTTGGGAAGATGGGGGTGGAGCCTAAGGGTTCTAAAGGGGGAAAAGTGCCTTTTAAACTGAGGTTTGAGGTCCCAGTTTGCGAGTGGGAGCTTGGACAGAGTAGAGAGAAGACATGTGGGTGTTAGCGAGAGCAGTTTGGGTATTTGAAGAAAAAGTTTGGGTCAGTCTTTGGTGTAGTATTCAGAATAGCTATTTGAGAATATAGCTAGAATACTGTGTGGAGCAGCACCCCGTTAGTGCTCTGTTCATTTCCTATGGAAGGCTAGTTCAGGGTTTTGGCTAGATTCCTAAGGGGGATTTTTGGGAGTTACTTTCAGAGATTCATTTCCTGAAGTAATTTTCTGTGTTGGAACTTTTAAGACTTGTAACCCAGAGGTTTTTAAGATCTGTACTCAAACGCAACCATAAGCTTTTTATACCAGTATTTTACTGAAACCATTAAGCTTTTGTACCTGAATATTTCAAGCCTGTTCAATAAATGTTTTTGTTATTTTTATCAACTTATACCAGCCTCAGTGTGAATACCTTTTGTGGTCAAAGCCTTATTCAAGTCAGCTTTTAACAGCCTCTAAGACAGTGGTTCTCAACCTTTCTAACACCGGGACCCCTAAATATGGTTCCTCATGTTGTGGTGACCCCCAACCATAAAATTATTTTCATTGCTCCTTTATAACTGTATTTTTGCTTACAAATCATAATGTAAATATCTGATATGAAGGATGTGTTTTCATTGTTACAAATTCAACATAAATAAAGTATCATGATTGATCAGAAAAAAATATGTTTGGGGGAATATGGAAAATTATGGGATTTGCGCTCAACCTATTTAGCTCTGACTTCCACAAACCACTGAGACCTCCACACAGAACCCCCCCCCCATGTCAAACAAGAAATACTGGAGGGGTTTGGGAGGAATTGACAGAGAGAGAGCGAGGTGGGCTTTGCGCGAGGCCAGGCCTCGTGTGGAGGACCCCTCGCCTGCCCCGTGCCGTCGCTGGATGGCGAGAGTGTGAAGCGGGCTTTGCAAGAGGCCAGCCCTCGCTGGACGGCGAGAGTGCAAGGCAGGTGAGGCGGGCTTTGCACAAGGCCAGGCCTTGTGACCCCTCCAAAATGGCCAGGCGACCCCCCTGGGGGTCGCAACCTCCAGGTTGAGAACCACTGCTCTAAGAAATCTATAGTGGCACAGCATGTGTTCACAGAACAAACTCTCAATAATACCTCAGCCTGTTTATTATTAATATGGTGGCAGCGGAATTCTTTTAAAAATTATTTTATATCTCTCAGTTCCAGTGGTCCCCAGTTCCTAACTTATAAATAGACAGTTGGTTCAACAACCATACTCCCTCTATATTTTGGTGAGCTAGTAGTAGTGGTGGTATTATTGTTGTAATTCGGCTGAGCAGCGTTGGGATTATTTTTCTATATTTCCCCGTCTGATAAATCAAATTAAAAATCTTACTACTGCTGGTCCATGAGGTCACGAAGAGTCGGAGACGACTGAACGAATGAACAACAACAACAACAACAACAACAGAACATGTATGTCTTGATACCTATAATATTTAATATTCCTGCTTCATTACATGTTGTCCAATCACCCAGTGCTGACCCTTCACCACAAACCAGCCAATTACAATACTTATTTCCAAAAATCAGTTGTTTCTATTACAGGTTTGGTCCCCTTACTTTCTATATACACATATTCTATCAATTTCCCCCAAATCTTCCCAAAATCATCTTTTTTTTTATAATCCTCTTTTAACCTTAATGTTTCCTGTCAGTTTATCATTTATTGCGATGTCCCAGATCTCCCTATACCACTCTTCCAATTGGCACTTCCCCCCTTCTTTCCATTTTTTAGCTATTAACAATCTTGCTGCTGTTACCAGATTGGCAATTAATTATTTTAGTTCTTTTGGTATTTTAACATTATCAATAAATGACAGCAGTGCTATTTCCGGTGTACCTGTTATCTCTATTTGGGTGATTTTTCTTATTTCTTGAAATACATTTTCCCAAAATTTTTGAACATATTTGCAAGACCACCACATGTGTATATGTGCCAGTTTCTTGACAGCCCCTCCAGCACTGCTTAGAATGTTTCTTGTCAATTTGATTTAATCTGATTGGTGTGAGGTACCATCTCCACACCACTTTGTAATAATTCTCTTTTATTCTTATTGACATATTTTTAATATACGCATATTCCACATTCCTTTCCAGTTTTGTGGGTGTATTACTTTATTACAATCTAACTCTCACATTCTTTTGAGGTGGTCCTGCTCCTGGACTCCTTCCAACAGCATTTTGTAGATATCACTTGTTATATCTTTTGTTCTTTCTTTTCCTTCCTTACTCCCCCTTTGGCTAATCATTTCTTCAAATTTGGTAAATTCTCTCTCTCCTTTATATTTCTTTCTTATTTCCCTTAACCATCTTTCAAGTTGTAAAGCTTTATACCATCCAATATTTCCTCCTGATAACTGGTCCTTTATCTCATCTATAATTTTCATCTTTGATTCCCAATCTTTTAATTTCGTTATCCCTTTTTCCTTGAATTCACTTTCCAACTCCTTTTTGAGATTTATGGGGAAATTATTTGTAATCAGCACG